TTTTTTGGGGTTTTTTTTTTTTTTGGGGGGGGGGGGGAGGCCCCCCTTGCTCTCTGCCCCCCCAACTTCCTATAAAAGCCCCCTTTCTCCTCTTTTTACTGTCAGACTTTGCTCTCCCTGAGCACATGGAAGTGAGAAGCAAATTTGAACACAGTGATTTTGAAATAAGCATGTCTGTAGTAAATTTGCATATGGGCAAATTACTTTGAGTACCCATATACTTAGTTTATCCAGAATTGATGTATTTTTATCTTTTTGGAAACTGCTGCAAATTTAAACACAGGTACTCCATAAGCACACTTAAGTAGCACTTTTGTATCTACTTCTGTATGGTACAAACTATGCATAACATTAGTCCAAAGCCAAAAGGCTCATGATTTACAATATAGTTTATTGGGCTGGGCCCCAGCAGAGCCAATGGTGTTTCAAATCCATGGTGATCTCACAGCTCAGCACTGTTCACTATGTGTGTACTCCAGATACCCACAAAGGATCTGTGTCCTACTTATCCCACAACTCATGACTGGAACCAGGTGTTCTTGTTATGAGTCCTGGGATCCTCCAAAAAATTATATGCAAATGAGGAGCAAGAAAACCTGGTTCAACTCCACCTTATGCAAGGTAGGGTCACATTAATCATTTGCAGCAGGCTGAGAAAGTGGGTGATATAGGAATTCTGGCTGAACAGTTTGGGGTCCTGTTTGGTGATGTTTGCCAGACATTTAAGGCTGTTGAAGGAGGAATTATTGGAAGTTGGAAAGAAAGGCAAAGCTCTGCTCTAGGAGCAAAGAGAAAGTAGAAATGTATGCAATATACTGTCTCACCATGACTTGAAAGGGAGTCAGCACTGAGAGGACTGAATGCAATGGGCACTAACACATATCTTATTTAGATGAGATGCACTAACTTTTCCTTATGATAGGTTTTCATTTTTATCTAGAAAGGGGAAACAGCACAACCAAGCAGGTGGTTTTTCCACCTAGCAGCTGATCATTGATTCCTGCTGCAGTCAAAATAAACGTTTCTTCTTCCCCTATCTCTCGTGCGAGGTGAGGTGGGGCGAGGGCAGGGTTGGTGCAAACCCTAAGGCTTGGTTCTACCAGCCCTGAGAAAAACAAACCCATCAGCAAGATAGAGAGACCTGCAGAATACTACCCTGTAAAGTTCAGGGTGAAGAGGCAATACCTGGAGAACCCAGGGAAGCTGCCTACGGCCAGGAAAGACTTTGGACTGAAGATCCTCCAAGAACTGCTGAAGGTAAACGTGAGGTTATCAGACTAAATTTTCAACGGTATAGATAACCCCAGCCTTCAAGATTACGTCTCAAGTAATGAAAAGTATTCAATCACATGGTTATCTTAGTGGTGATCGACTCTCACCTGCAACGTCTTGATGTAAAAGGATTGCTATAGAGGGTTGAATTTTAAACACCATTAACCAACAAGATCAAGGTTGGTTTCTCTTGTGGCTTTGAACTCTCTTGTAACACCACTTAATGACGCTGAAAATTCTGCAGTTCTTATTATTAAAACTCACAGTGCTCACTCTTGTAATTAACTAACTTTTATTGATTTTTTTCTCTCTCTCTAGGGACCCAGGAAACTATAAGCCAGTTAGTCTTCCCTCAATCCTGGGTAAGCTGTTTCAGAAAATTACCCTGGGACATGTCCACGAGGAGCCAGCGGGGGAGGTAATGCTTAGGGGCAACCAACACGGGTTCATTAGAGGCAGGTCCTGTCGGACCAACCTGGTGGCCTTCTATGACCAGGTCACCAAATCCTTAGATGCAGGGGTAGCAGTGAACTTAGTCTTTCTGGACTTTAGGAAGGCCTTCGAAACTGTCTCTCACCCCATTCTCATTAAAAACCTGGGGGACTGTGGTGTCGACACCTACACAGTCAAATGGGTCACCAACTGGCTGGAGGGCCACATCCAGAGAGTGGTGGTGAA